TGACATCTAGAAAGGGTCCCCAATTAATTTAAGGTTCGATGATTGCCCATGAAAATCCCTTTCATAAAGTTTTGCCGAGCTGATCGCCATGTCCATTGAATGGAACAACGCCCTGCAGGAAAGGGTTCCCTATGACATAGGGAACCCTTTCCTGCAGGGTGTTGTTCCATTCCATGGACATGGCGATCAGCTTTTTTGCAAGACTGGCTTCCCAGGTGGGCGTACCTTTTCGAGGGCATCATTTGGAAAGGTGTCCTGCTTGAAGCCTTCATACACAAGCTGCTGAGTTGGTGATGTGTGTTAATTCAGCCAGATGGCCATGGGTCAAGATCCCGTACCCCCAGTGAACATCCCCCACCAAAATAGACTAAACTGGCTGGTGCACCGAAAACCCCAAACTGGGATCCCATTACTTTTGACCCGCAGCCAGATTGTTTTTTGACAGTTTGCTTAGATGAGTCAGATTCCAGAGCCTTTAGCTTTTGGCTTTGCCTCTGGTCTTTGCATCGCACCCCACATGGGGCATCGATGGTTGGCCGGAAAATTGCCAGCAAAGGTGCCATCAGGATTTAGCAGCCTGGGCTCTAAGCAGCATCCTGGCGACAAAGACGAGGGCGCAGCAAGCCCAGCGGCCTGAATTTTCGAACAGCACCTGGGTATGTGTCATATGCATAAAGTGCAAGGCCCTAACGCTTGTTGTCTTGGGGCCCCTTTTCTCCTTTTGCCAATGCCGAGGCCTTAGTCGCTCGGATCCTTTGACGCATACCCACTTGCTTGTTGCTATTGCAACGAGTCTCTCTCCGGAGGTGCCCGACGCACGCTCCCCCGGCCGTGATATGGAGGTGGCGTGTTTGATTGTTTACTTTTTAGTTGTTTCTGTTGTTACACAAAAACGGTACTTTTTTGGGGGTTGCTTTCAATGAGAGCCAAGAGCAACTCAAGCTTTTTGGAGTCCCCTGCTTTTCAGACGCACGCTTATGTCCGAGCGTGTTTCTGCCATAGCGGTCAGGTGGTCGAAGCCTTGGCTTTTGAAACAAGCGCTTGGGAGTGTGGCCGGACCTTTGGGACAGATGGTTAGCAACGTTCTAAGGGTAGCTTCCCCATTCCTTCCAGGGATCCTTCTGTCTAGAACACCACCACAAACCCTGGGAAAACAGCTGGGTTTTGAAAAGAACGATGGTTGAACATATTGGGGAATCAACCACAAGAAATTTGGCATTTCGCGGACCAACCCAACCTTTGGTGCATGTTGCCAAGGGATGTTAGGACCTTAGCTTTTTGTCAACTAATGGGTTTTCCGAATTAAACCACTAAAAGTTATTCACTTTTATCACGGGAGCAGAAAGAAGCCGAGCAACTGTCATTGCGTTCAAACACCCTTGGTGGTAGGCCGCTACTAAATTGTCATGGGTTTTTTGGCAGAACAGAGGAGCACGTTCACTGGTTGCGAGCCCTTGGAAAAAACGTCGTTCAATAACCAGCTGTTTTCCTAGGGTTTTGGGTTGTTGGATCCCTGGAAAGAATGGGGAAGGTACCCCTAGATTAACGGGTGATTCCTTACTTGGGGTTGGTGAATACTTAGAATTCACCCAGATCAACTTGCAGGTAGGTCGGGGGCTTCATGGCGATTCTTTTCAAAGCGTCCCCGCTGGCGAGCGGAGCCATGCGGTCTTGAGGCCGCGGGGAATGCCAGGATGGGCAACGCGAAAACGAGCATAGCAGGGCCTCGGAAGCAAAAGAAAGCATCTGGCCGCAACATACCAGTGTCAAACAAATGAAGAAACGGGGGCAACCCTTTGACATTTGACACATGCTCAGTCCCTTTTTAGACAGCCCCTCAGCAATGGTGTGTGTTTGTGTCATGTTTCACAAGGGCTCCCTTGTGAATTGAAACCACGGGAAAATGCCCAACTGGGCATGTGTTGTGCTTTTTGTTTTTCTCAGGTATCCAAGCTTTGCGGGGCCTTTTAGGCAAAATTCAAGTTGGACTTGGGACTTTGGACATGGGAAAAAGCTAGTTGTTGGTGGGTGCTGAAAGGAAGCAAGCCATGCAGAAGGCGAATTGTTGGTTGGTACTGGACGGAAGCAAGCGATGCAGGTCCTTTGGACAGGTCCGTGCTTTCCCCGTTCGGCGTGAATACGGTCACTCCACTTTTCTGAGGCGAGCTCTCGTTGCACTCACGCCTTAGCGCCTAGCACCGTATGAAAAAGACAAAAGAAAACATCCGGGCAGGTGAGTTCTAGCTGGTTGCAAGGGAGCCGCACTTGGAGCCGGGGGTATCCCAGTTTGCCTCTTTTTTTTTCAAGAGGGAGCGTTGCGGAGCTACCGGGAGTTCTGTAAGGACATGGTAGGGATTGAACATCACCTGGGCCAGTTTCAAGGTGAGCTTCCCTCAATAATGTTGACCCCCCTTAATAGACCCCTCAGTCATTTTAGTCGGGGTCCCTTGTCATCGGGGATTCCTTCCTTCCAGGACCTCCCCAGATTAATGCCCCGGGTGGGGTGGGGGTGATGAATCACGGTCAACAATAATTATGGATTGACCTGTTGGTTTGCCACCTTTCCGGATAATTTTGCCTGAGAGGTTTAGTTACTTGATTTCCTTGGGGTTCTCAAAAGCCGCTTCTGGCGGGCGCAAATGGCACATCATATAATGTTTGATAAAATGCACGTATCTCTGTAAACATATATATATATACATATTGTATATTAACACGCTGGGAACCCGCCTGTTGGCAAGGGCGCGGGCGTATGTTCTGGGATAGCTCACAGATGCGAGGCTCGGTGCCATTTCACTGAAGTTCCCTCAGGGATTCCTTCGTGGCTGATGGCAATCAGTTCAGATACCGGTACCCCTGGTCTGAATAATTTAAGGCAAGCTCCCCTGGCAGCATGACGAGCTCACCATGATAAAGATCCTTTACTTGGGATCCCTTCTTTCAGATCTTGGGATTATTGTAACAATTGCCGCAGGGGTTCGTTCGTTGGTTTGTTTGTGGGCTTGTTCAAGTTGGATTGTCAGGGAATGAGCAGGGGCACCAACGACATACTGGGGTCCCCAAGTTTGACATGTCTGCAAGTTCGGAACGGTGGATCCCCAAGGCACAAAGCAAGTTTTAACCAGACTTGTGTCTTTTGATACAGAAGAACCCCTTTTCCGTTGGTTTAAAAGGAAAACAAAAGACACCCATTTAGGGAATCAACTGTGCCCCTGGCATATGGCGATTCAGTATGTAGACAGCCCTTTCCATAGCGGCCCTGAACGAGGGAGTCGACGAGAACTCACGTCACAGACTTGCACGCCGTGGGCGTTTTTGCTTGCATCCGCCCGAACACCTCTGTTTCTTGTAGAGAGGAAATGGGAATTTACCACAAACCTCCAAAGCACAAATCCAAACCACCAATTGGGAAGCTCAATGAAATGGGAGGGGGGGGGGTAGGTTGAGCAGGTCTCAAACACCGCGGCCTTTCCAGTTTTACAAAGCGACGGCGACTTGGTCATAGCCATGGGCAGTAAACTTTCAAAAACAAGCAGGCCTACTAAGGCGAACATTTGGAGAATCGCATCGAAGGGTACATGGGCATTGGACTTCCCTGCTTTCCCTGGTAAGTCCCCTCTAAGCAAGCTCCAGGATCGGATCATATCGGATCCCAAGCCCGTTTTAGGTGGTGGTTTTTAACTTACTTCTTGAGTTCAGATGGACTTTTTGAAATCACTTTTTGGGAAGGCTTTTTCTTTTTTTGGGCGGCATAGAATCAGTCCAGATTTGGTGTGGCCCATTGCCGCAAGAACATGTCCGATTCCCTCCGTGGCCCCTAGGGGATCTCATGCCGCGCCTCCGCGCCTCGAAAGCTAAGATAAGATCGCGGTCGAGCTCCAAGTGGAGCCCACCTGAGATGTAAGACAAGGGTTTTGGATGAAAATTGAATGGGGTTAGGCCCTTAGGGTATTTTGAAACCAAATAATATTCAAAAGGAAGTTAGGCAAGTTAGGTGTGTAATCATTTGGCTTCACCCTCCCAGCATTGCCATGGAATCCACCAGAAACCTTCTAGAGGAGTGAGCCAACAGGTGTCCATTGGATGGGACCCTACCACTGCCCCCCTTTTGACACTCATGTTTTCATGGCTCAGGGTGCCATTTTCTCCGTTTCTTTGTTGTTGTCCTTTGGGCACTTGACGTCTCCGTGCAACACAAGCAGGCAGCTGAACTTCGAAATCATTTTTAGCTGCGAGACAGCCACTGCCCAACAAACCAGCAACACGGCAAAGTTTTCAGAGGGGACGAAGACACACACAAACACAAAGACACAAAGACACAAAGACACAAAGACACAAAGACACAAAGACACAAAGACACAAAGACACAAAGACACAAAGACACAAAGACACAAAGACAGATACAAAGACAAACACAAAGACAAACACACGCAAACACACACAAACACACACAAACACACACACACACACACACACAAACACACAAACACACAAACACACAAACACACAAACACACAAACACACAAACACACAAACACACAAACACACAAACACACAAACACACAAACACACCCACACACACACACAGACAGTTTGGGTTGCGTTTTATGTGGTCACCTTGCGAGCCGACCCGCTCAACTTGTTCAACCAACCCATTTGGTTTGGATAGTTTAGAAATTCCAACCGCAACGGACATATACGGGTATGGGCCATTATGGGTCAAAATCAATCCCCCAGGGCAAGCCCTTTTTTCACGATGTGCAAGTCCACTTACTTGACACCCAGCTCACGGTTGCTTCCTTTCCTGGGGACTCCTCTCCCCAGCTTCGCTTGCCCTAAAGCTCACCTCCTGAGTTCATGAAATTCTTACACTTTTTGGGTTTGGACCATTTTAGAGGTAAAAATATAAAGTTTGGACTTTCTTTGGGCCATCTTTTTTGGGCCATCCACTCAGGTGGTAAATTGGGCAGTGTTTTTTGGGCCATCCACTCAGCGTGTCGCCCCGAAACGCTTTCGCCTTGCCCCCTGCGCCTTTCACACCGCGTCATGGACGACGTGGCGAAGGCCAGGGCCCAGCTGGCGGCGATGCGGCAGTCGCTGGCAGGGCTCAAGGTGCACCAGGCGCCCGGGCCCCTGAGGGTGGCTTGCCCCAGTGGCCCCCAGCGGCGCCCTGGTTTTTTGTTTTTTTTTGGGGGGAAGGGTTCCGAGTCCTTGAAACTAAAAACAAAGCCAAAAAAACAGATGCCCTTTTTTCGCCATGGCCACTGGGCAGCTGAGTTGCGATGGGTGGGAGAGGTGGGAAGAATGAGAGTTATGGAAGGATCCCAAGAAAAATCATCCGCAACTGGTGGTTTCCTTCGAGGTTCATTCCCTCATTCCTTAGCTGAGCACCAGCAAGAAGGGATCTCCAGAGAAAGGGGTTGCTTCTCAAAAAGGGGCTTTCTTGAGGAAGGGTTCGGCACCATTTAACAGGCCAAGAGTTCATGTTCCTTAGTTGTTTGACCGTTTTGGCTTCTATCATTTTTTCTGTGGGTGGGGGCTGCAGAGAACAAAGCGTCGTGCTGGCAGACCAGGGGCTGGAAGGCATTTTCCTGTGGCTGAAGCTATAAGGATGCTCTATCTAAGGGTTGGTCCTTTGCCTTCCAGACCAACCGTAGCCCACAACTCCCCCCCGAGAACGGCTCAGCGGCCGAGCGGCTTCACGAGGCGCGGCTGGCCGCCGAGTGCCGCTCGGCGCGGCAGAACGAGGCGCAGCTGAAGCAGCAGCTCGCAGACTTGCTGCAGGAGGCGGACCAAGCCCCTCGCTCCTTCTGCGCGTTTCGCGCGTTGTGCCCGGTGCGGTGCGTGTGTGTGAGGAGCCGGGCTTGGGTTCTGGAGGTGAAAAGGGAAACGGCAAGGAAACCAGTGAGTTCTTATGCCACTGGTAAGCCATCCCCACCCCCTGAGTAGCGTATGGAAGCGGACTGCAGGTCGTACGGCCGGAGACCTCACATTTGCTATTTTCGGGCTGGGGCACCGGGCGGCTCCGGTTAGCACGCACGGGCACACAGATCTGGGAGAGCTTAGGTCAAGCTGAAGCGCAAGGACATCGAATGCCTCTTCTATTCGGACGAAGGCACGTCAGAGCTACCGCAAAGTGTGTGAAGGATGCCATGCCCTCCTGCCAACAACATAGAACCCACTGGAGGATTTTTGGTTGTTTGATGAAAAAACAGATCCATTGGGCTCCATGTTGCTACCCGCTGGGTTGCTGGCAATGCAGAACGCAACCACCCTGGAATTGAATTCTCCCATTTGGGGAAGGCCCGGGAAAGCGCCCTTTTGTTCCTTTTTGTGCCCCTACTCCATCACACTGAGCCCCCCAACCTGCATGTTCACTTACTTCGCAAGCAGGCTAGACCCAGTCTTACACAACCAGATGTGGCTCGCAACCAGTACTAAAAGCTAGTGGAGACTCGAAAGTGGACAGGGGGCTTCCCCACAACAGTAGTCTTCCAAAAGCCCTCTATCAGCTCCCATGCTTGTTGGAGGGAGGCTATTTGGACGTTTCAACCGGCCGGACGGTTCCAGAGCTCCAGCTTTTGTCTGGATGGTCCATGGATGGGGGATGCGTCCAGGCTGGGGCGACTGGGAGGAGCAGTTCCGGCGGCAAGTGAGCGCCGCGAAACGGGACATCCCCCCGCCGATGTCGCCGCCTGCGTTGCAGGAGGCAAGGTCGCCCTCTTTGATGTGGGGGTGTTCTTTGGAGGTGGTACCCTTTTCAGCTTAGTTCACATGGACGCAATCTGGAAACGCACAATTTGTTGGAGGGTTTACCATGGTTATGACTGGTTGGTACCCTGGCCTGAACATCTAGCCAGATGCACATGCAGAAAGCCCCGGCTTTCAGGGGAATCTCCTTCCCGAAAATGCGTCCGTGTTTTAGGCTTCATTTTGAGAGGAGCTCAGTTCAAAATCGGACACCAGCCCAGCCGCTCGTTGGTTTCGGACCTAGTCGGTTCTTGGACTCCAGGCAGTTGGGAGCATTCTCCATCCCAACCCTGTGCGTATTTTCCCTGCTCCCGGCACGCAGCGAGTTGCTTGTTTTCATTTACGCGTCTTGATGGAGGGCCCAATGATGCTGGGCTCTTTTTTTGGGCTGCTGCATTCAGTCTCGCCTGATGAAGGTCTTTTCTGCGGGAGCCATGGGTCATAATTCAGAAGACCCACCCCGTGTGCTAGGATGGGAATTACGTATGAGAAGACAATGGTGTATCCGTTGAAAATGTGTGTTTCCGTGCTTACCCACCATAAACCGTTCGGAACCTGACTCGAGGCGCCTGCAAGCCCATGGTCGGGATTAACATTGGAAGCGCCACTGGGCATGAAGTAAGCCACACATTTCACACACGTTTAGGAGAAGAACAAAAACAACGGCTGGGGAGTCGCGTTTATTTTCCAGAACCCCCCATCCCCTCCCCTCCCCTCCCCCTTCGTCCCCCGCACATTTCCACCAAAATCGAAAAAGGTGGGGAGTCGCGCTTATTTTCTAGAACCCCCATCCCGGAACCCCTCTCCCCCTCCCCCCCTCCCCCCCCCATATCCCCCCTCAGCCCGATTTTGCCCTCTTGGGCTCTTTGGGTCCGACGGGACGTGCGTCAGCTGCGCCTCGCCGGCACGGAGCTGCGCCTCTGCAGCCGCAGCCCGCTGATGCTGTGGGCCCCCCACTTCTGCACGGAGGAGGAGCTCCGGAGCTCCCGGCCGCAGTTTTTGCTCAAAGCTTACCCCTTACTTCCATTGGCTTAAGAATATGTTTATTTTCCATGGTTGATTTTAAAAGGAAGTTGTCACCGCTGGACATATTTTTTGCAGGGGTCTCAACCAAATGGAAGCTTAACAATGGGGGTGATGTCCACTTGTTTGGGTGGGTCTTTGTCCCTCTGAGTGATTTCCCTGATCTTGACCCCATTTTTTCCAAGCCCCGGTTAGGGACTAAACCCAGGGTAGCTTGAGGGCCTCATCCGGGGAGTCCGCCAATTTGCAGGTGTTCCCGGCTCCGGCCAAAAGTCAAGTCCCAGGACAACGAAGGTGCTCGCAAAACATGGTCCCCATATCTTGATATTGGGTTGGATCTGTTGAATTAAGGGTTTTCCATTGAACTCACAAAAAGCTTAAAACTTTTTGCAGAGGGGTCAACAGCAACCTGGAGAAAAATGAGAGCTGGGGTTGATTGTCATGGGTCAAAAGGGCGATGAATTCGGTACCTCAGACAAGTGGTTAAGCCTGTTCAGAATCCACTGAGCGGAGACTTGTAATGGCTTTTCTGGTCTATAACCAAGCTTACTACCCTGATGGGGTCCCCACTGATTTTGGTGGATTCTAGGGGAAGTGTCCCGAGTCCCGCTTCTTTCCGGGGATCCTTTTCCAGGTGAAAGACCCGTTCTACCAGGGTCCCCGATCGCCCCTTTAAAGAAGCACAGAGGAAGATGAGAGCCCGGTGAAAGTCACCCCTAAGGAAGATTTAGGGAACCTGGGACATTCGTTTTGAAAGGTCATGTCGGTGGCTTAGAGGTCCTTATTTGTTTATGTTTGTTGTTTTGGGATTGTGGTTTGTTGCTTCTTTGTTTTTGTTGCAGGGGGCGCTAAGGGCCAAGCTGAAGCGGGCCCCAACTCTACGTTTGGGTTTATGCATGTTTGGATTGTGTACCCTTGTTGGCCATGGGCCTTCTTCCAGGCACCCCACGCAGCCCACAAGTCATTTTTTTACGCAGCCCACAAGTCTATTTCCGCACACAGGAGGAACGGGGGCAGGGAGTTGTTTTCACCTGAGTAGTCTTCCATTTGCTTACTCTGTTGGTTTGAAAGGACTCTGTCACTACTGGAAATATATATATAGTTTTATTCACGGGATGCAAGCAAACGGAGGCATTTCTCTGGAGTGTTTTAGAGCCCCGATCACCCAGCTTGAACAAATGTTCTAGGGGTACCTTCCCCATTCTTTCCAGGGATCCTTCTTTCTAGGAAACCTCCGGAAACCCAGGGAAAACGGCCGGTTTTTGGAAAGAACGATGGTTGAAAAGAATGGATTTGGAATCACCCCCTAGAAATGTGGCATCGAAGGAGTGCGCCCAGCTCATCGACCTCGGCTTCAAGACTTGCAAGCGCCCCGGGCGATCGCTGGGTGGGAAGGGGTGGGGCACGCTTTGGGTGGGAGGGGTAGGGGTGGTTGGGATTTCCGTGAAAGGGAAATCCTAGAAGCCAACCTTTCAACCTTTGAAGTGACCTTTCTGGGCTAGTTTTGGTAGGTCCCAGCCTTCATTTTGTCAAGTCAGGTGGGGGTGGCTTCGCCGGCCAAGTTGCGGGACATTTCGCAGCAAACGAGGGATTGAGCATTTTCACAGAGAACTCAGTGACAATGAATTAGTTTTGATTGTGTTCCGCCGATTCATCATTGACGCGGCCCTTGCAAGAAGCTTTGAAAGGGTCAGACAAGTCGGACTTGTTCCCCTGGGATAGGGATATGGCGGGAAGGTTTGCTCTATTTTTCCACGTTTTTTGTTTTTTTTTGGTAGAGCGGGATGCACATCCACCATTTTCTGCCATTGAGCCACTCCAAAACGAAGCCTTATAATATAGACATGTATTAGACATATATATATATATGTATAATCATTCTATAATTGGTGGCTTACTTTGGGGGAGGGGTAGTGGGATGGACAGGGCCGGGCTTCGGACGTCGACTTGCGCGCGCGGCGCGGTCCGTGCTGCGCCTCCGCGAGGCGCCACAACTCGGAGGCGCAGCAGATGCAGCGCCCAGCGGTCGGCACGCAGGAGGAGCTGCGGGGGGTTGCCACCGCCTCACTGGAGGCAGGCGAGTGGATGGGGTTGGATGTGGACGTCCATGCGTTTCCCCGTGGGAAATGTTCTGAGAAGGAGCCCTGACAGGTCGGCGGCTCCGGCAAAAGTGCTTGCAGGCATGTTTGTTTGTTTCATTTGCTTCTTTTTTTGGGGTGGGGGGTCCAAAGATAAGGGACAGGAAAGGGGGCTCAATGGGCCACCTGTTCTTTATTAACATTAGTGAGCACGTGCTTTCTTAAGCCGGTACAGCTGTCCAGGCGCCTTGGGCCTCCGTGTATTTGCGGGAATACCCGATGTTCCTAGAGTTCCCTTTAGGGGTTTCATGAGCCTAAAGCCTGTGAGGTGCTTTCCTCAGGCCCGTCCCAACCTCCTCCAGCCCCAGATCCGGTAGAATTGGTCAAACGATCTCCCATCTGAAGGATGCCTCGGTGAAGATGCAGGGCTCCTTAAAAGATAAATGTTGCAACCATTTGAAACATGGCTTTTTCCATCAAAATACAGGGAAACCACCATGTACAAGGCAATGTTCAGGTGTATAGTGTAAGGATCCCTGAGATGTCTTGGTTTATTCTGGTTGGTATGGTATGGATCTGACTTGTAACTTGCCCAACGCAAGGCCTCAGAAAATGAACGGCTCACAGCTTCCTGATATTTCCCGATTCTTCGGGCTCATCAACTTGTTTAAGAGTAGTTTGAGGGTCCCGGTAGCCTTATCCTGGGGATTTCACCAATTTGCAGGAGTTCCCTCATTTTGACCACATATTTTTCAACCCCAGTTTATTAATTAGGGGGGTGGAGGCCCCTCCAAAAGTGGCCTGATCCCCCACCAAGCCCAGGCACACCCCCCTATAGCAACACTGGGGTTGATTACTATGGCTTTCAACATTCCTTAAAGGGGCAATGGATTCGGTACCTCCCTGCCCTGAAATACCTCCCTTCTGACAAATCAGGGCCTTTGCCTCCCTGAAAAACCCTGCCCTGAAATACCTCCCTTCTGACAAATCATGGCCTTTGCCTCCCTGAAAAACGCTGCCCTGAAATACCTCCCTTCTGACAAATCATGGCCTTTGCCTCCCTGAAAAACCTCCCTTCTGACAATTCATTGCCTTTGGGGCTTGCACCCCGCCGATTTGCAGCAGTTCCCTCTGAGAGTTCCGCTCGTTGCCCAACCCGCGAGGTGGAGGACTTGCCCCCAGAGCATCGCCGCCTCATGGCGGAGATGCAGCGCCGCGTCGCCGAGCTTACGGGGGTGCCGGTGCACCAGCACGAAGCCTAGGCTGCAAGGGCGTGCGCGTGGCTCACAATTCAAGAGCTATAGGGTTACGCAGGTGATGGTCTTTGGTTCCATTTACCCCAGGGACCATTTTAGTGCCTTGTTTTGAGCCACGGCCGTGTTGCACCATTTTGCACCCCCCCTGGCGGAGTTCCAGCGAATATGTATTCGTGTGTGTGCGTGTCTGTGTGTCTGTGTGTGTGTCTTTGTTGGTTTTGTCTTGTTTGGTTTTGCTTGTTTGGCTTGGTTTGGTGTTGTGTGTTGTTGTTTGGGTTTGTTTGGTTTGTTGTATTTTGTATTTTGTTTGGGCCGGTTTGGGTTTGTTGGTATTGTGTGCGTTTAGTTCTTGTTTTGGTTTGTGTGGTTTGGTGTTGTTTGGTTTCTGTGTCTGTTTTTGTTCTTTTTGTGTGTGTTTTGTGCTGATTTGGTTTGGTTATATAGGTGTGTGTGTGTGTGTGCGTGTTTTCTGATGTTTTGTTTTGTGTTGTGTTGGTGTGTTTCTTTGTTTTGCTTTGTTTGATTTGTGTGTGTGTGTGTCGCTTTATGTTGCTTTGTGCTTTGTTGTTTGTTTGTTTGTGCGTGCGTGCGTGGGTGTGTGTGTCTGTGTGTCTGTGTGTCTGTGTGTCTGTGTGTCTGTGTGTCTGTGTGTCTGTGTGTCTCTGTGTGTGTCTGCGTGTGTGTGTCCGTGTTTCTGTGTGTCTGTGTGTCTGTGTCTCTGTGTCTCTGTGTCTCTGTGTGTCTGTGTGTCTATGTGTGTCTATGTGTCTCTATGTGTGTCTGTGTGTCTGTGTGTGTGTGTGTCTGTGTGTGTGTTGTTGTTGTTTTGCGTTGTTTTGTTACCGGGGATGCCCTGAATATTGTAAGTGCGGATCAAGGGTGGTTGGTTACTTGCAATATTAAGGCCATCCAACCGTATGTGTCGTGTTGTGTTCTTTGTTTGTTTGTTTGTTGGCTTGCTTGTTTGTTTGTTTGTTTGTTTGTTTGTGTGTGTGCTTGTTTGCTTTCTTGATTGCTTGCTTGTCTGTTTGTTGTTTGTTTGTGTGCAAGCTTTGTTTCCTTGCTTGTTTGTTTGTTGGTGTGTTTGTCAGTGTTTTTGTTTGTGTTTCTGATCGTTTTGTTCTGCTTTGCATTGTTTGCATTTTGTATGTAGGTTGTTTTGTGTTTAATTGTTTTGCATTTGTTGGCACTGCTTTCACTCACCGAAACTTTTATTGAGGCTTTGCTGTTTTGGCGAAGCAAGAAAGGTATTGTCAAACTACACGCGCCACATTTGCTGCGACGCACCAAACCAGCGAGTCAGGGTTGCTCAGACCCTGCAAACAGAAGCCGATAGCAAGTCATCCTGTCCTTGCTTCCTTACGAATGGGTTTGTGTTTACATGGGGGAACCCTCAAAGTGTCAAAGTGGATGGTTTTCTTGAGGAAATAAACCCGTTCCTCAAGTTCGATCAGCCAGCTGGTCAAGATCTACAAGGCCCTTAGTCTGCTGGGTCTTGACTGCCCCTAAGCTTCTGACGTAAACCCCGCGTTGATGAGTAGGGGCCGGGGGTGTCCCATTAAGGGGTCTGGGGTTAAACCCCCCCTTGTTTATAAATGCGGTAGGTGGACAAATCCAGCGTCAACATGAAGGTTAGCATTGGAATGATCTTACCTTGGGGAACCACAGGTGGGAGGGGAGAGAGGATCCCATGATTCATGCTTGCAGTTAGGTAGGCCGAGGGAAAATCCGGTTTGCGGGGCATCAGATTGGTTTCCTTGGTGTCCGGCTCCCTGGTGAAAAGTGTTTCAAAGCATGGAGCCTCAAATAGGCAATCTTCAAACGGATGTCTCTTCAAGTTTGGCTGTGGTTGGGTGCAATGTGTCTTGCAATCGAAGGTCTGGAATGAGCTGTCCTTTCGATGTTGTGCACTTACCTTCTTTGGGCAAACCTGAAACTTGTGGTTGGCAGGCTGTCATCATTTTGGCCAAGGCCCGAAGAGCCAACGTCTTCGGCCCAAGCTCAAAAAGTCAGCGAAAAATTACCGCTGTTGCCTAAGACACGGAAGGTTTCCCGGCAGTGCGTGATTTGGACTTGTGCAACTGGTCAGTCCAAAAGCAGCAGGTTTTCGTGGGCTGCTGTCCCAAAATCTGCGGTGATAGCGGTGCTATTGAGAGCACGCAGCCTTGGAATTTTGCCATTGGCAACCTTCTCAAAATAGTAATTCCCCCATGTCCCTTTCGCTCTCTATCTCTCTCTCTCTCTCTCTCCCTCCCCCTCCCTCTCTCCCTCCCTCCCACCCTCCCTCCCTCCCTCCCTCCCTCCCACCCTCCCTCCCTCCCTCCCTCCCTCCCTCCCTCCCTCCCTCCCTCGGCGGGAGTCTCGCCACCTTGCAAGACTTGCATGATCGCCTTAAAATGAGAAGACTTCGTCCTAGACAGGCAACCTGTGCCGCAGAAGCAGAAAATTGCCACACGCCTGTTTACACAAGCCTTACAAGGGCGTCCAGGAAACCGAGCTGGTTTCAGAGGCTGAGTGAAGTCCCGGTCGAGCGCTTGAAGAATCTCTCGTCAGCTCTGCAGACTGGGGATCTGCAGCAACCGTACCTTTGCCGCCTGGTGACTCTAAGGGTGGCGACGGGCAATAACATAGACCAACTGATTACGCGTCAATTTGCCTATGAGTTTAAACAAATTGGCTTTAAGCGGATATATTCATGGTTGTCAAAAGTGTCATGATTGGTTGACACCTTCAACAAGCAAAACAAAAAATACCAGATTGAAGCTGTGGAGGAGCTTGAGGAGTAGTTTTAGCGCATGACGCCTCAAACACCTCTTGCTGACTGAAATTTGCGACATGTATCGCCGCAGGCGATGACCTCAGCATCGGCCTTCACATGGATGTGAACGGGGGCTTTCCCTTCTGCGTTTGCTCCGTGATCATTTACTTGAATGATGCGCCTTTGGCTCAATTCCGTCAAGTGGAAGTTGTCAGCCCTGCTCCCCAAAATTTTGGGGAGAGCCATGCGTGGACGGGTTATGCTGGATGATTTCTCCAAAGGGGAACCAAGACATTGATTGCCAGACCGTCTGCTGACCTTCTTAGCTTTGCCTTTTTGGCTTTCCATCATTCTACCTTTCGACCAGAAACAAGTTGATTTTTTTGCGGGTGAATCTGGTCAAGAAAGGGGGTGCATATTCTTCCAGTCCCTCTTTTTGTTTTTATGCTTGACCCTATGAACCAGCACTCTTCCTCCAACAGTCATGAATGCTCACAGGATACGTTCCTTTTGTGGTGGCCCCTGTTCGCTTCCATGATTGCTGGAATGCAAGTGGCCTAACCAGGTGACCAGGAGCAACACCGATTACTGACGCAGATTACACATATTGATTCGGGTCGCGATTGAAGGCTTAGAGGTCAGTGGGTTGCCCCCGCCATCCAAACCGATTTGGCCGTGGGTCAACACCGATGGTGGTAGATGCATTTTATTGGGGGTTGGGATGTTCCCTGGGGGTACGGGATTTTGACCCATGACCACTTAACCGACGTGGACGGCTCAGGTGGAGCAGGGCGGCCGCACCGTGTTCCCCTGCACCGATCTGAGATGCCGGGAGCTGGGCTGCCAGCTGGCGCGCGCTTCGGCGGGGATGTATTTCTTTGGAGGGGGGGTGGCAGGCGGGGTGGCAGGGCTTTGGTTGGCTTACGACTTGGGCCTCTCTGCCGGAATATCTTGGATTATCTCAACATAGGTACTGGCAATACTCTCGTGCTTGCGGGATGTAAGAGTTGCGCACATTGTGTTGGACAATCACGAAGCCCGGTAAAACGATAAGGTGCAAAAACCAACGATAAGGTTTTTGGGTGTTTCCGTGCTATTTGTGCTGGAAAACGATAAGGTTTGGAGCATGGAACGCACGTATTGCTAGCATTTTGCTCAATCTTGTTTGCTCCCTTTCCGTCCTTCCTGTTCACAACCATGGCTTGGAGCATTGAGACCCGGGAGAGGCTTCCGAGTCACGACGCTGAAAACGATAACAAAACGATAACAAAAACGATAACGCTTTTTGACAGAACCCATGCCCGTGAGGAGTTGCCCATTGAGAGGAACTTAGAGGAACTCTACCCTAGCTTTCCCTTTGATGTCTCCCGGCCATGGACAGCATACTTGTCTTTTACGTTGGAACATGTCTTGGACTCTACGTTGGAACACATTATTGCACTTGATGAGCGCAGGCTAGCCAAACAAATTGAAGCAAGCAAGCGCAAACGAAAAGCATAGAAGGAGCTTGCTGCTCGTGAGTCCGACGAAGAAAGCCTTTGAAGCCACCATGAGAGCTGATGCGCGCAGTTGTCCAAAAATGCGCGAACCCCGGTAAAACGATAAGGTGCAAAAAACGACAAGGTTGAACATACATCTAATGTGTAAAACGATAAACTTGGACGCAAAACCGATAAGAAAACACATGTGCAGCCCATTTCAATTGAGGTTTTGCCGCGGCCTCACATGTTTTATGATAGATATACAGACAGATTTGGGGCAGACGCCGGCCCAAAGACGGATTTGTGGATGGCTGCCACCAAAACACTTGGGGAGGTTTGGTCAAGCATGAGGAGCTTCAAGCCTGGTGAATTGAAGGAGGTTCAAGTTCCCAATAGATGAATAGGTGGAACTTCACCAAAAACAAATGCAAATGTAGGGGACTGTAAGGACACACTTTGCTACACCTTGCTGGCCGAGAGAGAGGGACAGGAGAGTCTTCCAAGAAATCTACCCTAGAAAGGGGGCACATGGGGTCAGAAGGGGCCGGTGATCGGGCATGCCGGCATCTGGGCAAAGACTGTGTCAGAGCAAGTTGGGCCCCATGTTGAAGGATCCGCGGTCACCTACTTTCGGTGCTGGCCGTTTGCCAACAGATGCTTAGTATACTAGGGTTTCCTCGCCTCTCCAAGCCTCGTTAGCTTCCTGTTCGCCAAGCTTCCACTTTTTTCAACCGAGCCAAACGACCAGCCAACCAATCAAAAAACCAACCCACCAATATAGATGCTCACTCTGCCCAACGGGCATGTTTAAAGAATGGAATTACAAATTCTAGCTCAAAACTGTTAAAGCTGGCTGGAATTACGTTTCTGCGCTTTGGATAGTGCATTTTCTCGCAGCCAGCTCGAGTTTGTTTTTTCTCCCTGTTTGTTTGTTGTGTAAAGCACAGGGAATGTGTTCTTTTGGTGAAACAAGCATTGAAACCCAGCAAAAGCTCGGCTTAGCCAAGAATGGTCGGCGACATTTGTTTTTGCACTTGAACACATTCAAATTTACACGGCCAAGCTCTTCCATGTGAACAGTGTCTCCGCAGGCAATTCCCGGCACTCTATGGTTCTTTTCATATTCCAAGCCAGTCAACTTTGCGCAGACAGTTGAGCCGCTTGAGCTAGTCGCGCCAGCTGGTTTTGTTTTCAGTTGACACACCGAGCGGGGTGAGAACACGTAAGTTTGCAGTGCAACCAAGCCCGGCCGTTGAAAGTGTCACACGGTGCAGGAGGCTCCTGGCCAGCTGGATGTTTTCGCGGAAGCAGTTGCCATTTTTTGGCTGTGCATCTTTTGGAACGGCGCGAAGCTCCGGCTTGAAAATCGCAAATGTTCAGTGCGGAAGTAGTACGCAAAGTGCAGCTTCGCAGCTCTTGCTCAACTCTTCCTGGTGCAAGAGGGCTCTTCTGATAAACTCGCCGGGGCACAATGAACGCTGAGCAAGACGCACAAGAGAACACGCGTTGCAAGTGGCACGAACCAGCGGAAACCGCTGAGTCCCGCAAAAAGTTTCTCAACTTGCACCCGTACTACGTTCGCTTGCATGTGTCCGATTATTTTGGCTCTTGTTCTTGTTACCTGTTACCATCAGCGGAGAACAGACATTGACCGGGTATGCTAGGATGTGCGTGGATTGACGGGGAGTCTGTCAGCATACGCGCCCTAAGCGCAACACGGCCGCAATGGACGCGCCAAGCGACATGACATGCTTCGCCCACCGGCTGGGCCACGGCCCAGATCAGACGGTACTGTTCATAGATCTCTCGTCTGACTCAGACATCGACATAGACAAAGCTGCTGGGTTAGATGAATCGCTTCCGGACACTGCTGCTGGAACAGATGTTCCTTCGGCTGATGAGCCACGATGCGGCGTGCGCGCATGCAGAGGCAGATGATGCAAGCGACGCGCCTGCTAGTGAGAGTGAGGAGCCGCCAACCAATCCTGCAGATGAGGATGCGGCTGCTACTACTGCTCCAGGGTGCCAACGGATCTACTGCTGGCGGAGATACTATTGCTGACGGAGATGCGGCTGCTGGGCCACATCCTCCCACCGCCACGGAGCTTGTGCTAGTATGTCCATCGTGGTGGCCACCGTCATCAACCCAGCCCAGCCCTGAATCAGACAGAGGTCCGGAAACAGTTCTTGGCGAGAACGACTACCCGCCTGCTTGTACGTTAGCTTCGAGCACCAGGTCAACCGAAGTTCCAGTTGCGCGCATTGCTTTGTGGTGGGGATGTGTCACTCTTGCTCACAGCCGCTGAGGAAGCGTCGCCGCAAACTGTGACAAGTGTTTCTCACAATACTTAAGCAATGCAATTGAGATTTTGGCACTGTTTGTGTGAACAGCTGTTGTCTGCACATTTTTAAATGTTAGGCTGATGCGGGGCTGCAAGCACAAACAACACACAATGATCAACTGTAGTGAGGACATCAGTTGGCACGACGGTTGCTTCACCACTTCTTGATGCAGAACCATTGGATGCTGTGAATATCGGACATTCTCGAATTGGGGGTAGGAGATTTGAACCCTGCTGAGGTCCAGGGGGGCTGACAGAAAAACCTGCCAGGTTCTTGCTGAGGGTGAATGCGAACCCGGCAACAGATGTGCCTTTGGTGAAGTTCAGCACCCGGTGAGTATGTGTGTGTGTGTGTCTGTTTTTCGCACGCAAGCTTGCCATCGCAGCCATCTTCCCGTGCCTTCCCTTAACGGATTGAAAGTGGGACTGGGTATTGCGCGGAAGGGTGTGGCGACCTGGGCAAGCGCGAGAAGTCCGAATCTTCCGATTGTTCAGCACAGGCACAGTGGAGGAGCGAATGTTGATGAGGCAGCTCTTGAAGGAGGGCCTGTGGAAGATGCAGTTCAACGAGGCCTTGGCTAGGGAGATGCTGCGCGATGTGTGGCGACATGACACTGCCTGTGCCTGCTTGACATGGGAAAGCCTTGCAAGGAGGGCCAGGCTAGCGTAAACCATGCCACATGGTCTGGCCATCTGCCACGCCGTGAGTGCTCGCTGTGTCCGGGGTTTGGCCTGAGCTTCCTCATGCACAACCACAGGTGCGTGCCTGACATTGACTCTGATGATGAGCCGCTTGCAAAGCGCCAGCGCGCGGACGCGCCAGCGCCGGTGGAGCGGGTGGAGGGCCATGACCTGTTCCGTGATGGCAAGGTGTTGCGGTGAAAACGCCCAGGCTGTCACATGCAGAGTGTTCAGAAGAATGTGTACCTGTACAAGCCACCTAAGGGTCCAGATGATGCCCTGTCTGGCCGACCGGCAAGCAGCAGGTGAAAAAAGAGGCTAGTCGCATATGCGTGAAGGCTTCCAAGCATGGCTTGGCAAGAAACGTGTAAATCGTGCTTTCCGGGTCGATATCGTTTGATTTGGAACAGGCCTGCCCCGACCATGAAAGTCCAGAAGCAACGGTTTGAGGTTTGCTCTCTGGGCAAATGTTAATGTTGTTGTAAACGCTTCGCGTTGCCAGCCTCAACCAGAATGCTTTTGGTTGGCTTTGAGGTGCTGTGTTTTGGTTTGCCTTGAAGTGTTGTGTTTGTTTGAGTGGGTGAGTCGGCACAGTGGACTGGGGCCAAGCGAAGCCTGAGAGAATATGTAAGGAATTTGACCGGTTATTAGAGACCGATGTTTCTTCGACTGGGCGTGGGCTTGGGCCTAGCCTCAGGGACTTGCTTCAGAGCAGCTGGAGCATGGTCTTGGGCGGGGGTCGGATGGACAAAATTATATTTGTATTATCGTAGGCAGCGTTCAAATATCAGCAGCCGTGGCCGTGGCGTGGCCGTGGCCGTGCAGCCGTGGCCGTGGCCTTGGCGTGGCCTTGCCACCTCTTTATGCACAGGCTGAATGCTTCAGACCGTGCCATGCTCAGCCACTTTGCTGGGGAATCAGATGGCGTGGGCCTTGACAAATTGGTTCGCACGCGGGATGCTTGCAGCGAGTCATTCCCCAGACATCTGCCTATGATAAAGACACAGACTGACACCTTAGCGCCCATGCAAACTTGCCCCGTCCTGCTGGCCGCACGAGCTTTTCGCTGAGACTTCGTGGTGCCTGACAAGCCCGGGACCTTGTGGCAGGGAGCCTGTTTCGGAGCTCACCCCGTCCGCCGTCGTGACTTGACCAGAGCTGTCGCTTTGTCTTTGCACGGTGACGGCACTCCTGCGGTGGCAACAGGCAGCACGCACCTGCTGCCGCTGTTGACAAAGCCATGACGAAGTACAGGCTGGCTTTGCATTTGGAGCACTCAGAGTCCAAAATGCGATGAGAAAGAAAAGCTTGCTCTCAGCATTCCAGCCTGCGTGACGCTGTGGCATGGGCGAGTTGAGAGGGCGTAGCGGCATGAAAGAGTCAAGAGAGTTGAGAGCGCGTTTAGGCTTTGGGTAGGACTGCGAAACTTAGCAGAGTGATAACGGATTGTAGACTTGTTTCTACATAATTTGTTCAGAACATTATTTGTGGCACTCCGTATTTTTTGTTGTACTTATATATCTACAAATATAGACTCATTGTATAGAATTCGTTTGAGATCCGAACTTCATTCCATACCTTCAGATTCCAGCCACCCGCCAAAACAGGTCGTACGATATGCCCCCCGCCAATAGCAGGTCGTTGTAAATGGCTACGTGCAGCCCCCGTTTTAAAGGCACTCCCAAACAGTCAAATCCGGATCTTCACATTTTTTCTCCGTACTCTCGATGCGACCCGCGTCACACACAGACACACTCAGCAGTGACTCATTTGGTGTGGCTCAAACTGAATTGCTAGGGTTTTGGTGGGTTCCATTTACGAAGATGCGGGTTTAAGTCGATTCAACATGCCTTACGCACATTTCACAGTGGTTTGCGCTAAAATGGGGTCGTTAACGCCCCACACACAGGGGCACCCACACTAAACTCACGCTCCCTAAAATCAGACAAATTACAACGATTAGTTGTTAGCCCCCCAGGCTCACGTTAGACTCACGGTAGCCTTACGCACATTTCACGGTTGTCTGCGCTAAAACGGGGTCGTTAACGCCCCACACACAGAGGCACTCACGCCAAACTCACGCTGCCTAAATTGAGAGAAACACACAGTGATGAAGCCTGATTGCCACCAGTCACAGCACCACTATCAATGAATCGAAGTCTCAGAGATGCACCTGACACCCCAATCACAGGCAATACAGAACTTGTAAATTGCAATTAATATCTGGACGTTTTCAAGAGTTCTGACATGTTTTCATCTCTTCCATCATGAACCTCACTGCATGTCCCCCAGTAAGCATATTTGTCAAACACCATTGGATTATTATCTGGATTGTTCATCGGTTCTGGCATGTTTTTGGATCGATGTTTCATTGTTCCACCATGATTTGAACCTCACTGCATGCCTCCCAGTATGCATATGTGTCGGACGCCCAAATGACGGTGGCCCCCGCCCAAGCCCCCCGCCAAAAGCAGGTCATGGAATATGAAGGATAGACATTGTTTTCCTGAATTGGCTCAAAGTTTTCTACATGTTGGTTAAATTTCATCGGACCCTTCTGGCCTGGGATCTGCAGGGCTCGGAAATTCTGTTGGAGTTGCGCCCGAGGTGCGGGCCACACCCATACCAGTCATTCGTCCGCATCTGGCGAGGCGGGGCTCCTGGCCTCGCGGCTTGGCCCTGTAAAGGCCAAACGGGGAACCGGGGTTGGCTCAGAACCAGGGTTCTAGCTTCTTCCTTTTTTTTGGAGGGGGGGGGAAGAAAAGAAGACATGTTGCGGGTGATTGCGACGCCATCCGCGCAGGCTCCCTTTTTTGTATGTGACCCTTTTCTGCTTGGAACTTTTCCAGTGCTTCCCGGCCTGGGATACATTCCCATCCTGGGTCCCGCAGATGCTGGCAGGCTGCGGACTTGGTGCGCCTAGCTGGTGAGGAGGGCCTCAGGCATGGTCCGTGTTTCGTTGTTTTTGCCTTTTACAGGAACAGGGGTCTTGTCTGGGGGGTGTATCCAGGGCTTTGAGTCTGATGCAACGAAAAACCGAACAAATACAGAGTTTGGAGCCCTTTGCGCTACACTGGTTGTTTGCTTTCTTAGGGGTACCGTTGCCAAATCATCTACACCCAGCCGCAGCCAGCAAGCATGGGCCCGCTCGTCGCGCTGGCGAACCTCTGAAAAACATGAGTGGAAGCCCCCCAAAAAGAGGCATAACCAATCTCCTGGTGTCCGTACCACGAAGTTCCTTCTAAACTTCCTGTGAGAGCCCAAGAAACACCCCATAGTCCAACTGAATTGGGCCTTAGACTTACGTGTTCCTGATTGTCCTGATGTTGTACGTATTATTGTTTATGTAGTTGTTGAACGTTTGTAAATGTTTGTGAGTGCTGCAGAATGTTTTTGAATGTTATCGCATGTTAGTTAGGCAAACCGGGGTGCACATGGCGTTCCCTTGGACGAATGTGTGGCCTGATCAAGAGCCTCCTGGAGAGTGGCAATGAGCTATTTTGCCCATGGCCCAAGCTGAGGAAATCCAAACAACGGTGCTTGCCTCTGGCAGCGTTGGGGTTGGGTCTACTGTGGCTGCCTTTGATTGATGGGTCCTGGGTTTCGCCGAAGTTTACTGAATCTTGTTGAATGTTGACGAATGCTTTGGAAATTGTTTGCATGAAGCTGCATGTGTTCAAACGTTTCTTGGGCTTGTCCTGCGTGGAGGTGCATGTATTCATATGCTTCTGCAGGCGCATTTGCTGAACAGGGCCCTTGTGAACAGGGCCCCTAACCCAATGATGTGGTCGCTTCCTTACAATTCGCCAACCAAAAGCTTGGAGGTCCGTTGGCTTTCAGCCAACTCGCTTCAAACTGAAAAGAGATGGGAGACACTTGTTTTTTCAGTACCTTCCCAGGGTCGGAGGGAATGAAGCCGGGAGCACAGCAAATGGTCAGGTCTCGATATTCTTGGGAGGGTATGATAAATGGGAATGTCCGTTGTTCGGTGGCGCCCTTCTTCCCTTTTGTTTGGTGGGTCAACCCCACAAACCTTTCCCATTTTCAACTCGGGCCAGCAAGTTGCCCTTATCAAATTTACGACAAATACTAGGGCCACAACCCATTCTTAAGGTTACTAGGTCCCCCAATAGTGCCCTTTTACCAGTTGTTGGGGGAGGGTTCCCCTACTAGAATAGACTACAGAAAAAACAAGAAAACAAATAGGTACCCTTATTGTAGCCTCTCTGCTGGAGGACCTAAGTGAGTTCGAGGGTCCAGGTGGCACATCCCTCTCTGTACCGATTCCCCCCGTAGGATCTCCCCGCGCGCGGGGGCGGCACTGTGGTTCTTCAGCCTGGGCGACGCGGGGGAGGTGGATGGCTCTTCTTGGCACGGGGGCGCGGCAGTGGGCGGCCACCTGGGGATCCGCCGGCTGAAGGGGAAAAGATGACACGCAAGTTAGGGTGGGCCTTGCCCATCTTTTTATGGTATCCTAGCGTAGCCCCCCCCCTACGCAAGAACAGCATTTTTCAACCATTTTTTCACTATTCAAATCGTCATCCTTATTCATTATGCATATTTCCACTCAAAACATTTCATAACAGTCTCAACCTCAAAATCCATCAAAAAAGTCACATTTTCTCATTTTCTATTCCATCATTCTTGTCATTGTTAGGATGCTTGTGGGGAAATAGAAGTATAGGGTGGTTCATATGATATGGTTATTGATGGTAGGATGCATGGGCAAGGTTAAGCTCATTCATAAAAAAAAAATGTTCAAAAAAGTAATATTTTCAAAAAATAATATTTTCAAAAAAATAATAATTCAAAAACTAAATTTTCAAAAAAAAAAAATCAAAAAAAAATATTTTCAAAAAAAAAGTATTTTTTCAAAAAATAAATTTTCAAAAATATTATTCCAAAAATTATGACAAATTATCTTACAATATGTTTATCATAAATTTTGTAGAAATATTATGGGCAAGGTTAGGTAGATAGAATTTTATAACTTAAGTTCAGGATAATAATTCAATTGATGACCATTAAATTGTGTATATATCTTATCTCTTTCATGCATCATTTTAAAAATAATATTAATATCTCTCACGGTATTTTTCACATTAAACTTTTTTCCTTCAATATATGTTTTAATGTCTTCTTTTACATCAAACCCTTCCCTAAAATGACAAGTCAACATCCACAATATACCTGTAATCATTTCATATTTTTTCTTACTGATTTTCAGACATATTCTAACATAACTATAAGGTGGTATTTTATACACAGTTAAAAATATCAAAATGGCATCTTCAACATTTCTTTCATCTATTTTTTTAATCTCCAACATATTTTCTATTATATTTTGATATCGTCTCCATCTTCTACAAGTTCTACATTCATCTTCTTTACCCAAAGCATAATCAATAATATTACTTACTATTCCATTAGGTAAATTCAATTTGTATAATTCCATATTTTCTTTTTTGAAGTGGCAACAGTCGTAGCATTTCTTATTGATGTAATTATTGATTTCGGTTTCAACCATTTCTATTATATTATATATAGTTTTTATTTCTTTAAATACTTTTTACAAGAAATATTAAATTACTATTTAAATTATTATCATTTACAACTACAATTGCACCTAACACAGTAAGGAATAATATTATTCAGTTCGTGCGACAACTCGATTGATTTACGTTGCGCTGTCAGATTTGTCATTATATTACCATTTTTCATGTCCATAGAAAAACCGCATCCGCAGTAATTGCATTGATTATTTATATTGTCTAAAAACCACTGTGTATTTACATAACCTTCTTTAGATATGGTTCTTTTTGCTTTCCTGTCCTGTTCTTTGTAATTTAATATTTTCCTTTCAAAATAACTCATAATACATTTTTGATTAAATACATCATCAATATATTTTGTATATTTATAAAATTTAACTTTGCTTAAATCTCTACACCTTGTAATTGCAGTCCATATCCATTCTGGATAATTCTTTACCAAAAAATGGTTATAATCAAAAATTGTTATGGTATCATCAATGCTACTGCCTTGGGCAGAATGACAAGTTGAGCAATATGCAAATATAAAATTGCTTCTTATTTTAGCAACTTCTACGGATTGTAAAATTTCGGTTTTGACATTCTTTAATGTAAATATTCCATCGCTTCCGATATGAACTATTTTATATTTGAAATTTACATTAAACACTGATGTTTTAGTTTTAGTATATTCCCTACATGTTAAAAATTCGCCTACTTCGTATTCATCTTTTCTATTTTCTAATTTTCTAATTTCATTTGAGACATTTTTACAAGTTGTATTTAAAAATGCTATGTTGTTGTTAGAATTGCTTATGTCAGTTGTATATTCGAAATATTTTTCAATAACTTTCATAATAGGTAATTTATTTTCAAAAATATCAAATTTAATATTTCTTAGTTTATCCTTATCTTCCTGTGTGTTAAGTCTCTTACATTCTTTTAACAAAATATGATATTCAAAAATGTTATCTATAATATTATCAGTATATAATTCATAGTCTCGAGTATTTGTTATCTCTTGAACTGGTTTTAATTGCTTGGTGTCTCCCGTTGCTATTATAATTTTGTTGTGTTTATTCTGCTCTACAAATTGTTTTATGCTCCAATATATATTTAAATTACTGAAATAAATTTCATCAAATACGATTACATCAAATTCTGTAAAATCAAATGGTTCTAATTTTGCATCGCCGTAGTTTATTCCAAAAAACTTATTTATAGTCATTGCTTCACCTTCGAATGCCTGTAATAATTTATTAGTAGGACAAATAAACATTACCTTATATTTTTTATCAACCATTTTTTGACATATATATATGATTTTCCTGTGCCCGGTAGTTCGCCCCTGATCATAATAGGGTTATTCTGTTTAACAATCTCTATAATGTTATCAGTGTCGTATTCATCTTTAATATCAATAGTTTTACTTTCATGAACTGGCATTTTTATTAGATCATTCTTAACAACTTCATATTTTACAGTAGGAAGATTAATTTCATTGTCTCGCCCAGAAACTTTCCAACCTCCTATATCATTATGAAATTCTAATAATTGCTTTGCTTTCTCTACATTGTATGAATCAATTACAAAAGCATCGGTTTTCACACTATATACATTAATATCGTTGATTATTAATTTGTAAATGTCTTGGTTCATTTTAAAATTATGATGTTGCATGAGTAGTTCTTTAATATATCTATAGCCGTTTCTTAATACTGCTTTATCCTTTAATTTTAATATATAATATGATGCTTTTATATTTTCTGTATCTATTTCATATTTATACTCTTCTTCATACTCCTCTTTACACTCTTCGTCTTCTGTACCTATATGTGATAACCTATGAATTTTGCCCTCTATCTGTGATAACTTATGAATTTTGCCTCCGTATTCTGTTTGATAATGGATTGCTTCATCAATACTCTTAAACAAAATGCTTTGATGCGCGGTAGCCTCTCCCTTCTCTAATAATCCAAAATTGACATTTCCTATTAATTTTTTACTTAGTATATCATCATTTTTATCATCTTCATCTATAGTAGTTTTCCAAAGTTCATTAACCATATCCTTATAGTTTGTTTTATGAATAAACGAAGGTTGTTTATAATATAATACTTTAATATTATATTGATTAATAAACTTTTTTAAAAACTTACCATAAAGTAAATTATATTGTTTATTAAACATTAAGCCCTCTTTATTCCCCAGTAACGTTTTTGTCATTATGAATTCAACTTCTTCTTTTGATTTAAATTTTAAACTTTCCTCCAAAAGATGTTTACGTTTAATACGTTCCATACTGTATTTATTTGGTATATTCGGATAGTTAACTTCAATATAATATAATGTTAGATCGTGGAGTTCATCAATATTAATTGCATCATTGTATTCTTTCCAATTGTCAAACTGATTAAAAACTGGTATTTCAGTAATATCTATGAAACCCTTTGTAAATGCCTTATTTTCATCGATTTCAGTTTTACGCATTAAATTAAATTTATCCCATAATAATCCCGAAGGTGCTACAGTCCTTGTTTCGTTTAATATTTTTATATCAATGTCATTATAAAAAGATTTGTGAGATAAAATAAATAAAGATTTATTAAAATTAAACATTGCTTTATTCATATTGTTGTACATAGTTTCATTATTTGCTGCGATCCAACCATCGCTGGATGATTTAATTAAATTTTGAGTCTTTATGATATATGTTATCTTGTTAAATTTGACTCTAATTTCATCAATAATACCTGTGTATTTAATTCTGGGTTCATATCCAATATTTATCAACTGGAAAAATATTTCTGCCAAATCATTATCTTCGGGTACTAAATATACTTCCCTTGTTTTATCATCAGTTTTAATTTTAAGTATATCATCTATACATTTAATCATTTTGTATTGCGGTGGTTCCTCTCTTTCATTTGTATAATAATCAGTGTGTGCCTTTATAGTGGGTAGTTTTGATATTACTTGTTTTTGTTGTATTTTGCTTAAATCGTGGTTTAATGTATAAATATGGTTATTTTTCACCATAGCGTAAAATGTTTTAATATGACGGTTTCTTATTTTTGGGTTATATTTGTAAATAAGTTCATTTACAAAATTAAAAATTCTAACTTGAATATTAAACTGCTTAAATACTGCTTCCATTTCTGCTCCTACTTCCTTAAAATCATTCCTACCTATGATTTCAATAATTTTATCTCTGGTTAGTCTGTTGCGGGTTCTTTCATTCATGATTGTATCACTGTAAAAATCAGTTAATGAATTTATCCAACATTCATTTTTAATATAATTGCCTTGTTTAATTGCCTTTCGTATAGTGTCCTCACTCATTTTTAAATGTGTGTATATATATGCATGGAAAATGGATACGTTAGATGAATCTCTTAAATTTTCTGCTAATATATCAAACTTTTTACCTGATTTATTCATCATCTCCACGGACAATATTTTTATACCATCTAAGCCATATTCCTGATTTTCTAAATGTTCCATGTGTTTGGCAAACTCCTCGTCGTGTTTCATTATTTTTATTATTTTTGTAAATTCTGGATTTATTTGTTCCGTCTCTCTAAAATCAGTATCCATCGAAACACCTGTTTTTTTCAAAATTCTCTTGCGGATAAATTCCTTAGGAAATTCTTCTCCTATGTCAACTGTAGCACTTAATCGCTCATAGTTCCAAAGATAATAATACTCATCAAATGCTTTAAAGGCGGGTTTTGATTTCATTTTCTTTTTATCACCAATTGTATAAAGGTCATACATAACAAAATATGTATCTTTTTTCCTTCCTCTACTCCCTATATATTCATTATCTTTGATTTTCCTATATTTTCCACCACCACCCTCTTCCTTTTTATT